AAAATTGTTCAAAAATTGGCATAATCTCGCACTTAAGTGTCTGATATTCAAATTTCGCTTTCTGGGTCAAAACTACTAGAATTTCCTCACTCATGTTGTTATGACTGGTTGGTTCACTGGACTGGGTGACTCAAATGGTTCTTGAGAAACTTCTTATAAAGCGTCGGCATGTTTGAGTCGATTTTGCAACTCAAAAAAAATCGCGAATCTAAAACCTCTTGAAGTCCAGACTTTATTGAGAAAACTCCCAACATTTCCTTATCAATGGTTCACTTTCTAAAAAGACCATTTAGTTCTCTCTGGAATGATGTAAAAATGAGCGTTCTTGCTCGCTTTGCTTCGGAGAAATGCGCAAAAACGATATGGAAAACATTAAATGTTGGCATAATTTTGCACCCAAGTGGTCCACCAATCTCTTAAGCAAGTCACTAATTCCCTTTCCCTAAGGACGATTGTTGACAATCCTGAAAAAACTGGCCAACAACTCAATTATTAAACTTACATTTTCCAATCAGTTATCAGTTTTTAATTGGCAACTAGTTGATGTATTAACTGTTTCGTTGAAGGCAAAAATTGCAAACAGTGTTAAGCCCACGATAAGGTCCTCTGGTGGGATTTTCCATTAAAAATCATAAAAACTCGTTTGAAAGCATCGGCGATTTTTTCCCCGCGCTTACCAATGTGTAGCAACAGATATGCTTTTGATTTTCGAAAACAATAACAAAAATGGGGGAAAGGTCGGTTTGTTTGTTTTTTTTCACCAGTTACCTTTTCCTCCCCCGTTTTACTGCTGGTGTCCGACATCCGATATCGACAAAATTCCCGACTCTCTGCCAAATAAACTTTCAAAACGGAAATCTGTCCCACGCTCCACGAAACGGATTTGGCGAAAATAAATACCGAAAATCGGCTCCGCACTCTCCTAAGCCCTTTGACATTTGTTTGTACAACGTATGATTGATTAGCCATAAGGGATTAACCTTTTCGGTTAAACAATGGGTGGTGGCGACGCTGTGAGCGCCGTTTTCGTGTTGTTTCACACGCTTCACACGCCCCTGATTGCTTACCACCTTTTTTATCCAACTGGAATCACCATTTTCTGACCATTTTTGAGCCAGTTTTCAACATCTTCAGCCAGTTGCATTAGAAAACGGTTCTTCTCTACTCAAACTCAAAAGAGCCAATTTACAACCAGTTTGAGTTCTTGACATGAAGGAGTGATGAAATGATGATTTTTCCACTGAAAATAAGGATTGCGTAGATGCCGTCGTATTCTGGAAAGTCTAAGCTGAAAAATGCAGCCCAATCCAACTATGAGACATTCCTAAAAACTAATTATTCTCACAACCAAGTCTTTAAAGCCATTTAATCTAATGTCGAGTCTGCCCCGTCCTTGTAAACAACACCAAAAGAAGGAAACAATAAATATCGCCCAGATGGAAAAGCCCACAGCAGAAAACCAAACTGTGTCTATTTATTTAATTTGATCAGATCCAGCATCAATAAATTAATAAGATCGATGATAGGCATCGGAAATTCTATCCTTTCAGAGACTTGTCTACAGAGGCGCTTGGATAAGTAACATCAAAGAGAGGGCCGCCTAATCAGGAGGAAATCGTCTTGAAAAGGCTTAAAACCATCGTGCTGTCTCGTTTATCGACTGTCCCATTGATTTAGAATAGCGTAAGAATGAATTTGAAAGGTTTAAATGGTCGGTGTTGGTAGTTTAAACGCGTAGGTCATAATGTCGATGGGAATTACCGACGTAACGAAGAAGGTTTCAACTGGAAAGAAGTTGAAAATCCTGAAACTATTCATTATAAATTGTAATTTGTGGACATGCGACACGGAGTGTTAATCAGCAAATATTAAGCAATCAAATTACAAAATACATATCCGCTTTTTCCAATCGTTTCGATCATCATTTGGAGAAGTGGTCGAAATTTATTATTAATAGTTACTGGAACTGGAAAAGTTATCATAATGACTTCGAAGTGCTTGAGCCGATAAACTCATCAATGCCTCCGGCTAATAATATGTCAAATTTATGGAGAGATTAAATAAACCACATGAAAGCAACG